TTCTAATTGTACACACGAGAACTCTTAAGTTGACATCAAAAAGAATCCCAAGGTTTCTGATTGGCAATATCTACTGGAGTTTCACTGGGTACCAATTGTGCCCCGTTATCAGCAGACCTATTCTTCTATTCATATAAAGCAGTATTTGTTTTAAAAAAAAAGTATACGTGGAAAAAACCTGTCGTGGCCTTCAACTCGATATATCGACGACGTATTGTCAATTAACAATTGTTATTTACATTCTTATGTCGATACGGTAAAACAATTATGGAAATAACGAACAGTATTTAAGCTTTAAAATCAATAAAACAAAACAAAAAAGGAGCAGAGCAAACAGAGACCTCCAAACATCAGAGGTGGGATCAGGTGCCATGTAGGAGTGAGCATTGTGGCAGCGCACTTTGAAAAAAACACGCACTTTGACAAAAATTTTTAAAATGCGTTAAATTTAGGACACTCTCAACGCACTTTGAAAAGGTATTTCAAAGTGTGTTAAGAGTGAACATCAACATTTTTTACCTTAGGGACATCTAACGCACTTTGAAAAAAAATGTAAAAAAAAAACAAACAACATCCTACATTTACATATTAGTAATTGAGTGAATTAATTTGTAATAATTATATCTTTCAAAAAAACTTTGAATTTGCATGTAGATTATAAGTCTCTGAGAGCAAGGAAAACAAGGAACAGATAATTAAGATCTTTCAGTCCAACTCATTTGTTCTTATACATAGCTGTCGGTAGCAAATCGACCCCCCCCCCCTTCAAGATACATGTAAGCCCCAGTTTTCAATACCTATATAATGTATACCTTTGCAAAACATTTGTGAGCCTATCCACCCCCTCACGGCACCGATGTCTATGCTAAACCCAAATATATGTATTTGCATAACTAGTACGATTTTGAAAACTTTCAATAAATTTTTAAGTTAACATAAATTGTTTGCAAAATGGAAAAAAAATAGTACAGTGAAACATTTAGGAGAGAAAGAATTTTCAAATTATTGAAAAATCAAAGCCGCTCTCTTTCACATCCTGAAGTGACCTTATCCAACAGGTTACAGTATCTATCATACCTATGATTTGAAAGAATATTGACCAATCCATATAAATCCAGTACAAAATCATGTTACGCTTTGACCAAAATCAGTGACGCTTTGACCGGGACGGTTTTAATTGGGAACGCTTTGACTTGGCTCCCATCCTTACACATATTTTTAGCTCTTCTGAGCCAAAGGCTCAAAGAGCTAATGCTATGGCCATTTGTGCGGTGTGCGGTGTGCGTTAACTTTTTAGAATATGGGCCATAACTCAAGAACCCTTTGGCAAATCAGTACCAAATTTGCCACAGGGTATCCTTGGCTCAAGGGCTACCATTTATACTAAAATAAGGGATGTGACCCTAAAACAAGGGGAGATAATCAGGAAAACAAAACCAAAAGTAATAGTTGCTAAAAAATCTTCTTCTCCAGAACCACCAGGCAGATTTTCACCAAACTTACATACAAGGATCAAGATATGTTGCAGATTAAAAATTGTTCAAGGCATGACCCTGGGGCAAAGGGCATGGTCTCAAGGTCACTTTAAAGTTGACCTAAATTTACAATTAATAAAAATGTTTATATTTTGCTTACTATAAGGACTAGGATCATCAAATCTTGTAAGTTTATGCATCTTAGGACTTCACATCATGTTAACTCAAAAGTAGGTCACGGTGACCTACTTTTTAAATTTTGCGGGCATTTGTTTTCAAATTGATTTGAAGGCCTATTTTGGACACTTTAAGGTCTATGATCATCAAACTTAGTCAGTTGATGCCTCTTGGGTCCTTAAACAACGTCAACTTAAAAGTAGGTCACTGTGACCTACTTTTTGAACTTTATGACTTATCCTTTTTAAAACATTTAATCCCATTATTTCAGGCACTGAAAGGGTTAGAATCATCAAATCTTGTAAGTTGCTGCATCTTGGGACCTTAAAACATATTTAAGAAAAAGTAGGTCACTGTGACCTACTTTTAGAATTTTGCAGGCATATGTTTTCAAAATGTTTAAAGGCATATTTTGATTACCTTCAGACCTAAAATCATCAAACTTGGTCAGGAGATGCATCTTGGGACTCTGCAAAATGTCGACTAAAATGTAGGTCACGGTGACCTACTTTCGACATTTATGGCTATATTTAAGTATCTTAGGTATTTATTGGCTTAGAATCATCAAACTTTGTGAGTTGATGTATCTTGGGTTTTCGGAGAGTGACGACCAAAAATTAGGTCACGGTGACCTACTTTCGACATTTTATGGCTATATTTATGTATCTTAGATATTTATTGGCTTAGAATCATAAAACTTTGTGAGTTGATGCATCTTGGGTTTTGGGAGAGTGCAACCAAAAATTAGGTCACGGTGACCTACGTTCGACATTTTATGGCTATATTTAAGTATCTCAGGTACTAATCGGTTTAGAATCATCATACTTTGTCAGTTGATGCATCTTAGGTTCTCAGAGAATGTCGACCAAAAAGTAGGTCAAGATGACCTACTTTTGAATATCTCAGGTATTTATTGGCTTAAAATTATCAAACTTAGTCAGCAGATGCATCTTGGGACTGTGAAAAATGTCGACTAAAATGTAGGTCACGGTGACCTACTTTCGACATTTTATGGCTATATTTAAGTATCTCCAGTACTTATTGGCTTAGAATCATCAAACCTTGTCAGTTGATGCATCTTGGGTTTCTGGAGAATGTCGATCAAAAAGTAGGTCACGGTAACCTACTTTCGACATTTTATGGCTATATTTAAGTATCTTAGGTCTTTATTGGTTAGAATAATCAAACTGTGTCAGTTGATGCATTTTGGGTTTTCCAAGAATGTAGACCAAGAAGTAATTGGCTAAGAATCATCAAACTTTGTCAGGTGATGCAACTTAGGTCTTCAATAGGATACTTAGGGTTAGAGGCTTCAAATACAAGTGATAGGTTGTACAATTTATCAGAAGAGCGATTCAAGGCCCTTGGGTCTCTTGTTCAAAGTGCGTTGATATGGTCGATATTAACGCACTTTGAAGAGAAATTCTATTTTTTCCAAGTGCCTTGTTTTTGACCAAAATTTAACGCACTTTGAATTTTTTTTTAAAGTGCGTAATTTTTCAAAATGTGTTGTAACAGAGCATCCCCTGCCGACCGGTCACACCAACCGTGTGCTCTTTGTCATGTTCAGGGAATAAGTGAAAAAATCCACCATTGTCAATTCAGTGTGTATATAATGGACAAACAATTACTATGAAAAACGTCAGTCAGCGTTTGATTCAATAATAATAGAACTTAAGAAATGAGGACTTTAAACGAGACTGTTAACTACTTTACATCTTTTATGAATTGTATAAACGTAGAGCATGTTCTTGTGTGTCGAATCAACTGAGATATATACACTCCGTATGCAGGTGATAAAGGTTTATTGCTTCATAAGAAAGGGAAGTTGAATACGATTTGAGCTCGAATACGATACGAACGCGAGTTCAATACGATTTTGCAACTAAACGAAAGAATGGGGCAATTTTTTGTTGATTGGAAAAACATCAGAGGTAAATCTAAATGTTGAATTGAAGGCCACAGCAGGAGATTTCTTTTCGTGTTTTTTTAATAAATTCTAATTCATGCAAACACAAAACCAAGTCTTTAAATAAAAGGTACCTACCGAAACTTTATTTTCTAACAACACACTGTTAAAAAAAACATAGCCTTCGAAACCACAGAGATATTGTCAATATGATATTTGAGGAAAGTTTTTATAACAACTTCGGAGTTCTTGTACAAAGAATTAGAATTGTTTTAACAAATTATGTTTGCAGATGACTAATGAAAAGATATGCTAATTTACAAGTTTCATTTCTACTAAAAAGCAGTTGTCTGTGGTGTCGAAAAGTCCTATGTTTGATTCTACATGCATTAAATTTAGTAAAATTATGTGATATTAAATTCCCTAAAAGTTCCGTGACGTTTTCTATGCATCAACTTGTGATTTACACTTCTTCTCTAATATGTTTTTGTACAGTACTTCTGAACTTTCTCCTTTCAATGCTGTCCATATTTTTATAATTATTTTAGGGGTAAAGAAAGGGGCTTGGTAGAACATAGCCTAAAACACACTATGTATCTATTTAGGAATTTAGTATAGATAAGGTGATTTAAATTCGGTTTGGTTGATGGGAATATAATAAAAATTGAAAAGTGTCATATAATTTTCATTTATTTCCTACTTACAATGGGAAATATGAGTTTAAGATGGATTTCCATTTGTAGAATAAAATCCACGTTCCTCTAAAATACAGTTTGTAAAAATGAGCCTTACTAATATAACAGTGTTATAACTGCTTTGTCAGCTTAGATCTGTTCGTATTTTCGTGAAAACTATTTTTTCGGGAAAGGGGGAGCAGAATTTAAAGATTTTATTCCTTAGAAAGTGGACTATGTGTAAGAGTTAGATTAGCACTTTTAGAATGAAATTGAAGTTCCCCTTAAAATCAAACTTACAAACAAAGACTAGGCTCTTTACCTGCTTTGATAGCTGGGACCTGTACGTTTAATTCTTGCAATCTGTCTTATTCTTCTTGACATCTGAATTTTTTAAGATAGAAGGATATACGGTTTTCATATTGCTTCTCAACCTTAAACACAAAATTTTAATTTCATCTTCCTCCTCGGTTAAGGTATTCTTTTACACATATGAAGAAAAAATCACTCATTAGTATCTTATATAATATTTAATGCTACAGTGCATACATATGAAATCAATCACTGATTGTCTAGGTATGATGATGAAACCAGGAAAAAACATGCGCATTTTAGCAGGTCTTCTGATGATTTTCGTATCCGATTTTAACAACATACAGGCGATAGATGCATCCACCAATCAGATCGCTATAGCGTCCCTGGCAGGAAGTATTGCCTTGATAGCATCTCAGAGTAAGTTGCATACATTGAAAATAATTTTTTTTTTCTTTCGCTTCAATATTTATTTTTGGTATATTTGATTTGGCATAATACTTTTCGACAACAAATATAAACGCGAATATCTGTTTCAGATGTGAAATAAAATATTTTGAGCAAACGATGTCTTTTTTTATAGGTGGAGTGGTTGACTTGGTCGTAAACGATATTGTACTTCTGACAGGAATAGTTTTATTTATTACCTATCCAAGAACGCCAACGCAGAGGAATGGCGAGGAGACACGTAAGTAAATGAAGCACTGAGCAATCGAGTGTTTCTGTGAGTGAGAAAGAGTGTCAGGGAATGAGCGAGCATGTCTTTGAATGAGTGAGCGTATCTGTGAATGGGTGAGCATATCACTGAATGAGCGATAGTGTCTGTAAATAAGCGAGCCTGTCTGTGAGTGAGCAATTGTGTCTTTGAACGAGCGAGCATTTCTTTGAATGAGTGAACGTATCTGTGAATGAATGAGCATGTCAGTGAATGAGCGAGCTTGTTTGTGTGAGTTTGTAAGAGTGTTTGTGAATGAGCGAGCGCGTCTTTGAATGAGTGAGTGAGTGTATATTATGTAAATGAGTGAGCATGTCAGTGAATGAGCGAGTCTGTCTTTGAGTGAACGAGCGTGTCTGAGAATAAGCAAGAGGGCTGTGAGAGAGCGAGTCTGTCTTTGAGTGAGCGAGCCTGTCTGTGAAAGAGCAAAATATTTTGCCAGTAAGCGGATGTAAAGTCAAAGTTGTGTATATTTAAAAGACAGGGGATGTGTGAGTGAGACATCGATAATAACCAGCCAGTGAGTCAGTGTGTGAAATATACTCCGTGTGTTCTTACACCTTGTATACAAGTCAGTACATGTCAGTGTGTGAAGTATACTCCGTGTGTTCTTACACCTTGTATACAAGTCAGTACATGTCAGTGTGTGGAGTATACTCCGTGTGTTCTTACACCTTGTGTGTATATGTCAGTGTGTGGAGTATACTCCGTGTGTTCTTACACCTTGTATACAAGTCAGTACATGTCAGTGTGTGAAGTATACTCCGTGTGTTCTTACACCTTGTATACAAGTCAGTACATGTCAGTGTGTGGAGTATACTCCGTGTGTTCTTACACCTTGTATACAAGTCAGTACATGTCAGTGTGTGGAGTATACTCCGTGTGTTCTTACACCTTGTATACAAGTCAGTACATGTCAGTGTGTGGAGTATACTCCGTGTGTTCTTACACCTTGTATACAAGTCAGTACATGTCAGTGTGTGAAGTATACTCCGTGTGTTCTTACACCTTGTATACAAGTCAGTACATGTCAGTGTGTGGAGTATACTCCGTGTGTTCTTACACCTTGTATACAAGTCAGTACAAGTCAGTGTGTGAAGTATACTCCGTGTTACAGGGAAAAGTGGCTCGCATGATTTTCATGCGATTGCCTTTTCATGTGTGTGCGAAAATCATATAAAAACCATGCGAAAAGTTCCACATGCGAATTTCATGTGAATGTCCTCATATAATATTCATGCGAAATTCATGCGATTTTCATGTGACTGAAATTTCGCATGATATTCATGCAAATTCCAAATTATCAGTTTTTCATGTAAAAATCGTGCGAAATTCGCATAAATATTATGTGATATTCATATACACAAGAGAAAAGCAATGAACAAAGAAATTGAACATTTCAATATTTATTTAGGTTTTTCTGCCACATCAAGTGATAAAAATTGCCAGTCTCTGATATCATATTGCATGTGTTCCTGGGTAATCCATTGACTTTAATGATTGTTGTGTTTACAGGCAGTTTTTCAGTACATCTTTCTTTCAGTCTTGTGTCCTGACAAGTGTTTCCTACAAAGATTATTAATTTATTAATTAATTAATTAATTAATTAATTATTTAATTATTATATTAATTAATATAAAATACTATTACCCATACTAATATTCCAATTGTTTAGGTCAAAGGGACCAATTCCTAGATTAGGATGACATTAAATACAATAAATTCAATGATATCACTTGAAAAGTCCATGTTTTGGCAACTTGAATACAGGTATGTTAAATGTAGATAGAACGTCCTATCGTTAAAATGATTTTGTCCTACGGACCCGATTATTCTAACTATGTTAAATGGTACTATATGTTTAGAGCGAAACAGTAAAGACCATGTGTTTAACAGATTCATAACTGCATATTAGATGTCAGACACCATACAGTGTGTTATTGACCCAGCGACTCTATATATCGGGCTGCTATTGAACCATAAATGAGATAAACATTTTCATTTTAATTGTGATGTTCCAATTGGATGACAATAAACATGTAAATTATGAATTTTTAATATATTACAGACAACAGTAAAATACTGAAAAGATTGATTTTTTTTAAATCTGCACAGAATAATTAGAAATTTAGAATACCTCAACTGTGAATAAATCAAATGCAATATATACAGTACCGACCAGACCCAACCTGACACAAAGCAGTCCCAGAGCAGTCCCGGGGACTGCTTTCTGGACTGCTAAAGCAGTCCCGCAGCGGTCCCATCCCACAGCGGTCCCAGAGCAGTCCCACAGCAGTCCCAGAGCGGTCCCAGCAGTCCCAGCGGTCCCAGAAAGCAGTCCCAGCAGTCCCAGAAAGCAGTCCCAGTGGGCGGGGTTTATTAATTTAATGGGCGGGGCTAACTAAGAAATGAGATTTCCAATAAACAATAGAACTATAAAAAGCAGCTGAATTTTTTTCTGAGCAGTATGCCAGGAATCCTAACAATGCGAAGGTCATTTACATGTATGAGCAGTACCCGCATAGATTTGAAACAATTTGAAATAATACCTACATCAATGAATTACTCTAAATATGTATATTTAATCACAATTATCTTGGGTTTTTTGTGATTGATACTGGCTCCCATATTTATTTCCTATACAGAAAATTAAAATTGAATTAATTATATTTCACCAGAATTAGTTTTAATTAGATCTAATCATTATAGATCATGGCCGATTTCCATACTATCGGGATACTCTAAAGGCATTTTTAAAAAGTATAAGGGCTTTTGAAAAATTCGTTGCTAATTTTGCCAAGTAATATTATTCAATATTGATTATTCTTTACTGACATGTTAATTCAAAAATTATTGTTTTATTTGTAAATTGTATTAGTGACCAGTATAGAATCCTAAGATTATGTTCAATATTAATTAATCTTGAAAGAAATTTATACACATTTCCTTTATCTTTTTTATGCATTACATTTTTTACATAGATTGAAATTAAGGTCATTGTTAATTGAGCAGCATGTTCAATGATGTGTAACACTGATACGTGTACCCAAATAACATGCATGATTAATTTTCTGCCCAAAGGCGATTGAAACCACAGGTGTTTATAATACCATTTCATTCATACACATTATCGGCCAGGTAAACAAAAGCAAAACAAAAAAGAAATAAATCACAATTCCAGGTATTTTCAACTGTTTATTAATTTTTTTTTTTTAATTTACTCTTTTAATAACTTATTTATAAATTAAAACTAATTCATCTGTAAATTCCCGTATAATTGTTCAAATTGCTTATGTTACGGAAGAATGGTGGCATAATTTTATTTCATGTCATAAAATAAATAGATTTTTATTTGAGGGTTGTATGTAATATTCTTTTAGCGTTGTGCTTGTAAAACGTGTAGCCTTTTCAATTAAAATATCTTATATCTAAATGTAATGGTTTTTTAAATAGCGCCAAATGAAAATTTTGAGTTTTTAATTTTAGATTTAATAATAAAATAAATCTACATTTAGACATTTTTTCTCATGAGCCTGTAGTTTTATATACTTTAGAAATAAGAATCTCCTCCTGACTTCCTTATTTAACAACTTTATTTTTAAAAATATTCTTTTAATTATTACATTTGTGTAAATATACAGTCCCTAAAACTATAAATTAACTATAATACATGTAATCTCAAGTTTTTTAGAGATTATAAGAAATCCTTGCTTATCAAACAGTTTAAACTCCTCTCTGCTGCAAGTAAACAAAACAATAGGGAGTCTGCAAATTCAGAATACACAAGGGGGCGGAGCTATCATGTCACTCAGAACCTTTTTCACACATGAGTGAACAAAGCAGTCCCAGAAAGCAGTCCCAGGGGCAGCTGGGACTGCTTTTCATAGCAGTCCCAGAGCAGTCCCATAGCAGTCCCACAGCGGTCCCAGAGCAGTCCCACAGCGGTCCCAGAGCAGTCCCAAAGCAGTCCCGGGGACTGCTTTCTGGGACTGCTTTGGTGTCAGGTTGGGTCTGGTCGGTACTGTAGTTACACTTTTTTGCATGGACCTCAAATTAATCCCCTAGAAGATTGAACCTTTTGTTTGACCTATGTCTAAATTATTTTATGGGATTCAATTGGTCTATAAAAGTTGTGTTTACATGTGTCAGAACAAAAACACTGTCTGTGTGTTGTGTTCTGACACATATGTAGAAAAATGACAATTAGTTTAAATAAAAATAACCTTAAACTACTTACTCAAAATTTAGTAAACCTTCATATAGATGTCACTGAGCATGAAAAGGACCAGTCGATTCACCTGACTGCGTTACTTAGAACCTGAAATGAGAACGCAATCCGAATTTACTCTGAAAGATTTCGTTGCAAGTTGAATTAACAATAAAAATGTGCATTATAACCACAAAATATGACAAAAAATCAACAAAGCATACATATTTACCATTGTTTCAAAGAGTATATCACAATCAGCCAAAAGGAAAGTCTAGAACAAACCATAGAAAGGAGCTCTTGCTGACTCGGATTTTTTTTTCTGTAACAGATAGTGCAAGTAGAACCTGGCTAATCGGTTTCGTATTCATCCAAGAATCGGGAAATAACTTAATCTTTGTAATATTAGTCGTTCAAATTTTTATCTTAAAAATGCATTTCCACTTCAAAGACGAACGCAGATGACTAAGTGATATAAATTTACTTTATGGAACCAAAGCTAGTTCTTTTATGGAATGCCGTACGTCACAAATTACGTCATCATGCGACTTAGAAAGCAGAAAGAAAGAAAGAGCAGAATGTTTTCAACTCCATATTTTCTGTAAGTTTGTAAGATTCTCATCTTCTTTTTTATATCAGACGTATGTAATAACTTTATTTGGGAATATTTGTTGAAAGCTTAATAACAGATATGAGATTCAAGTGGATCTAACGTTATCTATGGTAACGCATAACGTTATGTGTTGAAAATGAAAGATGGGCCTAGTACAGGTTCTCTGCTTTTCTTACAATATTATTGGCCTATTGATATGCCTAATGATTTAATGTGTTTTTAATTCCTGTTGCATTGGGATCTAGTATATAAAAATTAAACTGCAGCAATCAAATAGCACACGTAGCATTGGGGGGGGGGGGGGGTTGTAGATAGAATGCTGATGTTCTATCGTTAAAATGATAAAAAAAAAATTAATGTCCTACGTACCCGGTGAGGGCTTAAGATTATTCTAACTGCGGTGGTAAATTGCAACCCTCCCTTTTGGATTTGCAAAAAAAAAAGGAATAAGAAGAATTAAGTTCCAAATTTTTGTTTGTTTGTGTTTTTACCATAGAAAATGTTCAGTGAAAAGCTAATGTTGTAGGATAGTATTCTCAGGTTCTGAGATCAATATTTTCCTTTCTTTTTCAAAAACCTTTCAGGTAATAAATCCATACAAATATTTTTTCCTAGTTTTATATCAACCTCTTCCTTTAAAAACCATACCCCAAGTTATATAACTACATGCAGGTGTAAAATGTACATTATAATACCCCCCCCACTTTGAAAAAATCCTTCCACCCCTCGACAAAAAAAAAATACCCCACTGTCCTGTCCACAAGTACCTGTGCATGTGCATTCCAAAATGTATGCAGATTTAAGAGGCTTACTTACATCTGGAATGCAAGACAGAAAGTCCTAGTCACTTCCCTAAAATGAGTCATACTGTACATATATTTACAAAATATTTATTAATTCGAAAATATTTATTAAATGTTGTATTCTATACTCACAGGCATAATTTGCTGGTTATAAGCAGATCTCTGCACGGCACTCCCTTATACCACACTGATAGCTTCTCAAAGATTATAAATATGATACATGTAAGCAGGTAAGAAAAAAATATAAGAGAGAAATATTTTTTGCAAAGCCTGTGGTAAACATTGTTTGTTATATCGTGTATAACAATCAATAACAATTTTGTTATTACGTGTATAACAATTTTGTTATTACGTGTATAACAATTTTATTACATGTATACATGTAGAAAAACCTAGCCATTCAGCTTATATTTGCTCATCTTGCATTTCTTTAATGTAAATACATGTATATAATCTTCGTTAATTTATAGAATACATGTTTTTGATTTAAATAAAGTGACAAAGAGATAATGAACTAAATGTTATTGAACCTACAGTACCTGACATTTTTTAGTTTCTCTGTATAGGCACAGTTACTTGTCATCACAAGGATCAGATTTCAAGTACCAGAGTAGTCCTAACTCCTAAATTTTCCCAATTTGTCAAAAGTACATGTAAGTATTTTATAATATTTTTTGTTAGCTCACCTGAGCCGAAGGGTCAAGTGAGCTTTTCTGATCAAAGTTTGTCCATTGTCTGTCTGTCGTCGTTGTTTTTGTCATTAACTTTTCACATTTTCGACTTCTTCTCAAGAACCAGTCGGCCAAATTCAACCAAACTTGGCACAAAGTATCTTTAGGTGAAGAGGATTCAAGTTAGTTCAAATGAAGGGCCATGCCATATCAAAGGGGAGATAATTCAGAAATGATGAAAATTTGATGGTATGATTTAAAAATCTTCTTCTCAAAAACCACTGTGCCAGGAAAGATGAATCTTACAGGGAAGCATCCTCAGGTAGTGTAGATTCAAGTTTATTCAAATCATGACCCTCAGGGAAAAGGGCGGGTCCACAATGGCCAAACAAAGTATTACATAGAAACCCTTCGGACTTTAATTATGGAATTTAATCTCATAACCAATTATGACTAAGCTGGGAATATTTCATTGAATTTTTCTCACCTAAGCCAGAAGCTTAAGTTAGCCCTTTTTATGCCCCAGTAAACAAAGTGTTGGGGTACAGTGTATAGTTTTTGTCGTGTCCGTCTGTCTGTCTGTCTTTCTGTCTGTCTGTTTGTCCTCAAAAACTTTAACCTTGCCCATAACTTTTGATTTATTGGAGCCATGACTTTCATATTTCACATGTGTATTCCTTGTGACAAGACCTTTCTTTGGGTACTACCAAATTTGACCTCTTGACCTTGGAGTTTGACTCACTTTTACATGATAATTTTACACTTTTACTTTGGCCATATCTTTTGAACAGTACACACCAGGACATTTATACTTCACATGTGTATTTTTTATTAAAAGACCTTTCACTGGATACCAACAACCTTTACCCTTTGACCTTGACCTTGTAGATTTCTGTACCTGTGCAAAACTTGAACCTTGGCCATAACTTTTGAACGGTAAGGGATAAGGTTTTCATACTTTACATATGTAATCCTTGTGAGACGACCATTCATTGGATACCAAGCACGTTGACCCTTTGACCTTGATCTTTGAGTTTGACCTACTTTAAAAAACAAGCCTTAACCATAACTTTCAAAGGGTTAGGGCTAGTGCTTTCATATTTTACAAATTTAATTCTTGTGATTAAAGACGTTTTATTTGATAACAAGAACTTTGACCCTTTGACCTTGACCATGGAGTTTGACCTACTTTTAAAAGAAAATTAACCTTGGCCATAACTTCTGAAAGGTTAGGACTAGGGCTCCCATACTCTACATAAGTAATTCTATGTGGCAAGACCTTTCAATGGATACCAATTAGTAACTTAGCCTTTAGGACTTGACCTTGGAGATTTTTGTACTTATTGAAAAAAAAACTTTAATAATGGCCTGCTTTTAAATTTCACAATTGCTTTCCAGTGAGAATATCATACTTTTGGTACCTATTAATTAATTTGCATTTAAGAAAAGTTTAATCTTTGCTATGTTGTCATACGGGGCATCAGTGATTCACAAACATATCCTGTTTTTGGTCAAAATTTGTCATAAAATTTTTCATTTTGATTTCATGCATTGTTGATCGAAACTTTAAATGCATTTTATAAAAAAAGTGCTATTGTAAAAATACCAGCTTGTAAAAAATTCTTAAATTTGTGAGATTCTCAATAATATGATACATTTCAGCTAGTGACACAAGAGAAGAATGTGGAGTAAATGCCAATAAAGGCTAGACTGCAGGGGTATACCTGACTTCTCGGCAATTTCTGGTTATCACCATCCGAATGACCGATTCAGAGGAGAAGAATAACTTCAAGGTGACTCTTATGCATTGGTAAGGATTTAAATTTAATTTCATTAATATGGACACTTGAGGGATGCAAGTGTCAATTTATTGTTATTTGTTTTTAGACCTATTGCTTCTCTTTTCATCAGTTGCTGTGTGTCCCATTAGTAACAAATTATCCATTACTGACTGAACCATTATCAACCAAATTTTGCATGGTAAAAGTGCTTCTTGATAGAATGCAAACAAACTAAGTACATTTAAAGTATATACTTATAATGAGTATTAAAGAGTTCCATTTCCCAAATTGTACATTACTTTTCCCCTGGGTACCCAGTAATAGCTTCTGATGTTATAGAAGACATATAAAAAATGCAGTAATTCTTTGACAGTCATCTTTTTCTGCTCCTTGGTACTCAGCAAATAAACTTATGCATACATATATTATTTTATCCTATGTTTACGCCTTTATATATGCCTATATGACATCTTAAAGCGAGGACTGAAATATAAGGCAAACTTCAAGGTCAAGGTCAAAAGATCAAATTGTTAGCTTCTGAAGGAAGGTTTTGTCATAAGGAATAATTTAACCAGTGAAATATGAGAATTTTAGTATTAACTGTTAAAAAGTTATGGCCTAGATTATATTTTTTAAAAGTGGGTCAAACTCTTAGGTCAAGACCAATTTTAAGGTAAAAAAAACTTATTGAATGGTCTTGTCACAATGATTACAAAATAATGTGAAGTATCAGATTGATTGAACTATAAACTGTTCAAAATTATTAGCCTAGGTTAAAGTTTAGGAATTTCTTTTGTAAAAGTGGATCAAACCCTAATATCAAGGTCAAGAGGTCAAATATTATAGTACCCCGATAAAGTTCTTGTTACATGAAATACACCTGTGGAATATGAAGCCATAGCCCCAATCACTCATAAGTAATGTGTTTAAAGGAACATATTAAGACAGAAAGATGGAAATAACGGTACAAAAACAATATTAACCCAACAATCTTTGATAACAGAGGCGGAATTAGTGCATAATATTTCCATGACGGTTTAAATAGTAAAACAGATACAAACTTATTCCTTTAAAAAGTTGAACTTTGAAGATATAAGATTCATGACTAGTCTTAATAATATTTTTAGATTTATTTCTGTTCTTTGCTTTACAGAGATCTTTCGCTGATGGACTCAAATTGTTCAGGAAAAAATCCATTTGCATCTAACCACATGCTACCACAGCCACAGATTTCTGGCGTGTGTTCAGAAGGAAGGTAAATTTTGCTTTTAAATTCCCTTGCAACAGATACAAATTGCATCATCAGATATAGGTCAATGAAACAGAGACAATTATCTCAAGGTTTAATTGATACCTGACACAAGATTGTTTTTAAGTTTAAAGTCATTTGCAGGAAAATTGTTTTCATTTTTTGTCAATAATTTTATACTTAAGAAACATTATAATTATACTTTTAATTATGATTTATGATGTATGATTTTGAAATCATTAAAATTTATGATGTATGTTTTTTAATTTTTTAAAGATCATTTACAAAGTAGGCAATATAAATTCAACCTTTTACCAAATTGAACTTAGGGGTGATATGAGATTGCTATATCTACTTTTGTTCATATTTTATGTTATCTTGATAAGTAGGGAAATATTGACTTTGGAAATGCAGTAACTGTTGTAAAATTCATGACTGTATTTCATTTACCGGTACCCAGTATTCATTACAATTATTTTCTCTTGCAGATGAAACAATCTCCAGACAGATGGGTGGCCCTTAAGCAGAGAATGTTAAAAAGAATTGAAGCATTCAATAAAGAAGATTAAGAAACAGAATGTGTCCAGTTGTTTGTTCATCAAAAGAATAACTTGGATAATCATAGTGGTGCTTCCTCAAAATCTGCATGTGTTAAAATTAAGCAGTTTCAAATTAAGATTTAGATAAAGCTCATTAAGTCATTTGCTGGATCAGATTTTGAGATTGTACTTATTGCATTTTTTTGAATACAGTAACAGTGAAACGTTGATGATTAGTTGTACAAATTCATATACAGATCTAAGTATTAGAATTTCCTAATACTTTTCATCAAATGGATTAATAGAATTGAAAGTCCAATATACTAGGAAAAATGTATAAATTACATCACATGGATTTGATATGAATATATCATGATATTTACATGAAATTCGCATGAAATTCGCATGAAATTCATCTGAAAAGCTGTAAAGAAAGCAGCAAAAATATTCATGTGAATTTCGTGCGAATTTTTATTCGCATGATATTCGTGCGAATTTCATGTCAAAATCGCACGATATTTTCATGCGAATATCATGTGTGGTCCTTTTCGTCTCCTTTTCATGTGAAGAATTCGCACGATATTCATGCAAATTTCATATGAAGTTTATGCGAGCCACTTTTGCCTGTGTATACAAGTTAGTTCAAGTCAGTGTGTGATGCATACTCTGTGTGTTCTTATACCTTGTATACAAGTCAGTACATGTCAGTGTGTGGAGTATACTCCGTGTGTTCTTATACCTTGTATACAAGTCAGTACATGTCAGTGTGTGAAGTATACTCCGTGTGTTCTTACACCTTGTATACAAGTCAGTACATGTCAGTGTGTGGAGTATACTCCGTGTGTTCTTACACCTTGTATACAAGTCAGTACATGTCAGTGTGTGGAGTATACTCCGTGTGTTCTTACACCTTGTATACAAGTCAGTACATGTCAGTGTGTGGAGTATACTCCGTGTGTTCTTACACCTTGTATACAAGTCAGTACAAGTCAGTGTGTGGAGTATACTCCGTGTGTTCTTACACCTTGTATACAAGTCAGTACAAGTCAGTACATGTTAGTGTGTGGAGTATACTCCGTGTGTTCTTACACCTTGTATACAAGTCAGTACATGTCAGTGTGTGGAGTATACTCCGTGTGTTCTTACACCTTGTATACAAGTCAGTACAAGTCAGTGTGTGAAGTATACTCCGTGTGTTCTTACACCTTGTATACAAGTCAGTACATGTCAGTGTGTGAAGTATACTCCGTGTGTTCTTACACCTTGTATACAAGTCAGTACATGTCAGTGTGTGGAGTATACTCCGTGTGTTCTTACACCTTGTATACAAGTCAGTACATGTCAGTGTGTGAAGTATACTCCGTGTGTTCTTACACCTTGTATACAAGTCAGTAAATGTCAGTGTGTGGAGTATACTCCGTGTGTTCTTACACCTTGTATACAAGTCAGTACATGTCAGTGTGTGGAGTATACTCCGTGTGTTCTTACACCTTGTATACAAGTCAGTAGATGTCAGTGTGTGGAGTATACTCCGAGTGTTCTTAGACCTTGTATACAAGTCAGTACATGTCAGTGTGTGGAGTATACTCCGTGTGTTCTTACACCTTGTATACAAGTCAGTACATGTCAGTGTGTGAAGTATAATCCGTGTGTTCTTACACCTTGTATACAAGTCAGTACATGTCAGTGTGTGGAGTATACTCCGTGTGTTCTTACACCTTGTATACAAGTCAGTACATGTCAGTGTGTGGAGTATACTCCGTGTGTTCTTACACCTTGTATACAAGTCAGTACATGTCAGTGTGTGGAGTATACTCCGTGTGTTCTTACACCTTGTATACAAGTCAGTACAAGTCAGTGTGTGAAGTATACTCCGTGTGTTCTTACACCTTGTATACAAGTCAGTACATGTCAGTGTGTGAGGTATACTCCGTGTGTTCTTACACCTTGTATACAAGTCAGTACAAGTCAGTACATGTCAGTGTGTGGAGTATACTCCGTGTGTTCTTACACCTTGTATACAAGTCAGTACAAGTCAGTGTGTGAAGTATACTCCGTGTGTTCTTACACCTTGTATACAAGTCAGTACATGTCAGTGTGTGGAGTATACTCCGTGTGTTCTTACACCTTGTATACAAGTCAGTATATGTCAGTGTGTGGAGTATACTCCGATTGTTCTTAGACCTTGTATACAAGTCAGTACATGTCAGTGTGTGAAGTATACTCCGTGTGTTCTTACACCTTGTATACAAGTCAGTACATGTCAGTGTGTGGAGTATACTCCGTGTGTTCTTACACCTTGTATACAAGTCAGTACATGTCAGTGTGTGGAGTATACTCCGTGTGTTCTTACACCTTGTATACAAGTCAGTACATGTCAGTGTGTGGAGTATACTCCGTGTGTTCTTACACCTTGTATACAAGTCAGTACATGTCAGTGTGTGAAGTATACTCCGTGTGTTCTTACACCTTGTATACAAGTCAGTACATGTCAGTGTGTGGAGTATACTCCGTGTGTTCTTACACCTTGTATACAAGTCAGTACATGTCAGTGTGTGGAGTATACTCCGTGTGTTCTTACACCTTGTATACAAGTCAGTACATGTCAGTGTGTGGAGTATACTCCGTGTGTTCTTACACCTTGTATACAAGTCAGTACAAGTCAGTACATGAGGAAAACTGACAGAAAATGTAGTTTATAAGATTCAAAGCCATTCAGACATAGCATGGGCATGGACGAGTAATTACAAGTATCCATTATTTGTTATATAACTCTTTACATGCATTTAAAGTCCATTTAAAAAGCTCACATCAAAGGTTGGTTCATTTTTGAGTATATTGAAGTATATACTTGTCTAATGTAAGTAAAATCAGATTTAGTAAAATAAGATTCATCATTTCAGAAGTTACCTGTAGGTCTCCTCCCGTCATACCGAACGCTCAAGGTCCCCCTCCCACGGGTCCTTTCCCCGTGGGTTCTTCATACCGGTATACATCTTATGTCGCGGGTTACAGCTCGTCCGGTGATCCCTCCACAACTTGTCAAGCTGACGGACAATGGTCACCTGTAGTCTTCCAATGTAGAGGTATCTCTCTCTTTCTCTCTCTCTCTTTAACATAAAGCTAGTTCACTCGACCAGCACTTATAGATTTTATAATTTTGTGTGATCATTCATTTAAAGCTGAAAAACCCTGATGATCAACATAAACAGAAATCAGAGATTTTTTTATCATAAAGGATACACAAAATGCTTTTTTCCAAATATTTAACAGTTATGAGATTTTTCTTTCACCAGATGAAGAGTTTATCAGTGCTTCATATGGAATATCATATTCTTTCCTTTTTTGAACTAATTTCACTAATCAACAAGAAAGAAAAGGAAAATAAACACCCAAAATGGGACTTTTTAGTTTTTGAAGGTTCTAGTATGCACATTACAGGGACCCTACTAATAGACTTCTGAGCTTGAAAATATGTTCTCTATCTCCATACATCTCACACAGCAATCCTTTTTTGGACTAAATTCTCTTAGAAATAATAACCCAGCTTTATTTAAGTATATATAAGATTTTTTAAAAATATTTTGTTGATTTAAGAAGTTATAAATTGTAATATCAGATTATGCTAATAAATTTGTTACTTTTGAGTACAAATAAATGTAAACGATAAATAAGACAATTTATCAAAAATTTGAGATACCGCTTTACATTCAATTCTTGATAAACACTGGGGCAAAATGACAATTTTGAGAAATTAATGAAATGTAAAATGTTTCAAATGATGCACTGCTTATTGATATACTTATTACTAGTATAATATTATTATTACATATTATTATGTTAATGATCACACAAAATCTTTGAAACATTTTACCACTGCTTGCCAGCATGTCATAACTTTATATAGATCAGTCTGCCAGTGCTACTTAGGATGAACGTTACAAGCTTTATGTTAAGGATACACGAAAGGTTTCCTAAGGTTAAACTTTATACTAGCACTGGCACGCTGTTTAAAAAATGTGTGTGATCATTGATATAAAACCATGACACGTTGATTAACACGTAAAGATTTATCATTAACAGTACGCTATTGTTCGATGTTTAGCGCTGGCAGAATAATCAATAACATTATGCTATTACACGTTTTTCAACAGACTGATCACTAGCATAAAGTTATGACGTGTTGATTAGCACTGGTAAACTTGCTCGTTCATTAGCACTGACACACTAATCATTAACATAACTCTATCATTAGTTCACTAACACTGACACACTAATCATTAACATAATGCTATTACTCAATCATAAAAACTGACAGACTTATTATAAACATAACGCTATAACGCGTTGTTCAGCACTGACAGAATAATCATCATTACGCTATTACTTGTTCATAAACACTGGCACACTTATCATTAACATAACGCTATAACTCGTTCATATATAAGCACTGTCAGACTGATCATTTAAGTCATTAGTCGTTCATAAGCACATGCAGAATATTCATTAACATCACGCTATTACTTGTTCATTAGGACTGACAGACTAATCTTTAACATAATGCTATTACTCGTTCATTAACACTCACAGACTAACCATTAACACAACGCTATTTCTCATTCATTAACACTGACACACTAACCATTAACACAACGCTATTACTCGTTCATTTACACTGGCACACTTATCATTAACATTACGCTATTACTCGTTCATTAGCACTGTCAGACTGATCATTTAAGTTATTTGTCGTTCATAAGCACATGCAGAATATTCATTAACATTACGCTATTACTTGTTCATTAACATTGACAGACAAATCATTAACATTACGCTATTACTCGTTCATTAACACTGACACACTAACCATTGACACAACGCTATTACTGGTACTTTTGACTATTGACTAGCATTGGCAGATTGCTCTGCAGTTTTGAGGGCAGACTCCGGTGCCAGCGGAAATGACGGAGTGTATACAATTATCCCGGATGGTACGACCCAGAAACAAGTCTTCTGTGATATGACGACTAAGGGTGGCGGGTGGACGGTGAGTTCTTCTTAATCAATCTATAACTGTAAAGATATGAATAAATATTGCACAATCATTTTTGACATCCAAAAGCAGAAGAAAAATTCAAATTCTACAAGATGTTTATTCTGAAAAAAAGTTTAAATATTAATGAATAGGATAAAACCTGAAGCCTGGAATAGGTATTTCCTTTCTTTTATTTATCTTGTAAAACACACCTAACAAAAAAACTTCTCAAATATTTTTCGATAACTAATGTTTTTGGTAGGTCATACAGCGGCGAGAGGATCAATCAACAGATTTTTACAGAACTTGGGAAGAGTACAAGGCGGGATTTGGAAATCCTGCACAGAATCATTGGATAGGTAAAGATAACTGGATCAGTAAACATCACTAGATAGGTAAAGATAACTGGATCTATAAACATCACTAGATAGGTAAAGATAACTGGATCTATAAACATCACTAGATAGGTAAAGATAACTGGATCGGTAAACATCAATAGATAGGTAAAGATAACTGGATCTATAAACATCAATAGACAGGTAAAGATAACTGCATCTATAAACATTAATAGATAGGTAACGATAACTGCATCTATAAACATCAATAGACAGGTAAATATAACTGGATCTATAAACATCAATAGACAGGTAAAGATAACTGGATCGGTAAACATCACTGGATAGGTAAAGATAACTGGATCTATAAACATCAATAGATAGGTAAAGATAACTGGATCTATAAACATCAATAGACAGGTAAAGATAACTGGATCTATAAACATCAATAGACAGGTAAAGATAACTGGATCTATAAACATCAATAGACAGGTAAAGATAACTGGATCGGTAAACATCAATAGACAGGTAAAGATAACTGGATCTATAAACATCAATAGACAGGTAAAGATAACTGGATCTATAAACATTAATAGATAGGTAAAGATAACTGGATCTATAAACATCAATAGACAGGTAAAGATAACTGGATCTATAAACATCAGTAGACAGGTAAAGATAACTGGATCTATAAACATCAATAGATAGGTAAAGATAACTGGATCTATAAACATCACTGGATAGGTAAAGATAACTGGATCTATAAACATCAATAGATAGGTAAAGATAACTGGATCTATAAACATCACTAGACAGGTAAAGATAACTGGATCTATAAACATCAATAGACAGGTAAAGATAACTGGATCTATAAACATCAATAGATAAGTAAAGATAACTGGATCTATAAACATCAATAGATAGGTAAAGATAACTGGATCTATAAACATCAATAGATACATGTAGGTAAAGATAACTGGATCTATAAACATCACTAGACAGGTAAAGATAACTGCATCTATAAACATCACTAGACAGGTAAAGATAACTGGATCGGTAAACATCACTGGACAGGTAAAGATAACTGGATCTATAAACATCAATAGACAGGTAAAGATAACTGGATCTATAAACATCAATAGACAGGTAAAGATAACTGGATCATAAACATTAATAGATAGGTAACGATAACTGCATCTATAAACATCAATAGACAGGTAAAGATAACTGGATCTATAAACATCAATAGACAGGTAAAGATAACTGGATCTATAAACATCAATAGACAGGTAAAGATAACTGGATCGGTAAACATCACTGGATAGGTAAAGATAACTGGATCTATAAACATCAATAGACAGGTAAAGATAACTGGATCTATAAACATCAATAGACAGGTAAAGATAACTGGATCTATAAACTTAAAACATTGCTGTGACGTCAAGCCTTTGTTCTTGCAGTCTAAAAATTTACCTGTAGCCGTCCGATAATAATAATTACCAGTCTGATAATATATTATCGGACGGCAATGATAACAAAATCGGACGGTGTTTAAAAAACAAAAAGAAGAGTGAAATTAAGATTAAATATGTCCAGAAACCCCCAATAATTATGTGAGGAAAAAATTCAGGGAAACCAAACGCAAGGAAATTAAGTTGATCACAATACAAAATAGCAAATCCATGAAAAGAAATCCAAGTTTAAACCTTCCACAACATTAATTTTCACTCTTTAAAAGAGTTTTTGATTCAGCGCTTTGAATTAGCGAATTTAAATCCATTTCTGAAAAAGATTCTGCAATCACTTTTTATGTTTTTTCCCCGATGGCCACACTTTCAAAACCTGAGAATTTCCATTATCTAAGCTAAAAATTCAGCTAGGGTAAAAATCCGCATTTTACTTGCCATGGTGATGGTTAAAATATCACCCAAAATTATGTCAGCATCAATGTCAATTTATGCACATCATAAATAAAAATGCCCCCCCCCCAAATCTTTCACCACCGTACCCATGTCCTGCTTAACGAAACCACTGCCATTGAATGAATGAAATTAATGAAACAAGAGTTCACTCACTTTTTTACTGTTCACTCATTTCTTTTATCTACTTATCAGACGGGTAGAAAACAATTGATGCTTTAACTCCCATTGTGTTATTATCGGAATCTCCAGGTAACTTTTGGACATTTAAATGGCAATGTTTTAAGAAGATATATGCCTCACTGTTCTATATGTAAAATTATCAGGAACAGTTTCGGCCCTAACGGGCCTCAAACAGTCTGATAATTTTACATATAGAACAGTATTCGGCATATATCCATTACATAAATAGACAGGTAAAGATAATTGGATCTATAACCATCAATAGACAGGTAAAGATCACTGGAGAGGTAAAAATAACTGTAGAGATAAAATCACTTGATAGGCAAAAGGAAACAAATAGGAAAATGAGCATTCTTCATGATCAAAAATCTATAAAAACAATTTAACAATGCATATTGCTCGTAATGTTTGTATATACCAAAATAATTATATATTTTCAGAAAGTAGGTATTGTGTAGTTTCTGAAAATGATTAAAAAATATTTCAGTTGCACATGGCATCGAAATTCATCATAAATTCATTTGGAAATTCAATTTATTAAAGAATGAGTATTATTCTAGTTTTTTTTTTCTTGGTCTTGGTTAATATATAAAGAGATATTTTTATTGTTGTGTTGAGAATTATGAGAATGTTGAACATTTTTTAACATACAGTTTTAATTTTGGGGGGTCTGGGGTGAAGTAGGGGGAGATTATCGCAAGAATTTTAGCATTTTTACATATAAATATTACCCCTGCATTGATTTGGATAATGGCAAAATTGCTCAAATAGTGCGCAACTTTTAATCAAGTTAACGAAAAATTGGAACAACCAATAAAACATATTCCTGTATAATATTATTTCATCGTAATTTTTGGGAGTTGAACTTTGTTCAATCTCCCATGGTCATCACGTATTTAACATGCGCAGTAATTTGTGTTGATTATATAGAGCCGAAAGCGAGGCTACTGTGTCACCCGATTTACCCTGATGATATTCAACAGAAAACATACATAAACATCCGCAACAAATAGTTCATGTCATTTTCTCCTGAATTGATCTAATTTTCATAATTTGAAATGTAAGTAAATGTATTGATAAAGTAATCTTATTTTGAATTTTAGATTTCATAAAAAGTAAAACTAAATTAAAAAAAACCTCAAAGTTTTTCGTAGCGTCATATACTCAAAGAGATACAAACGACAACTCTACATATACTGACTGCAAGCGGTGAATCTAGTCTTCTCGACGCCCGGTGGTCCCGTATTTTTAGCAATATCTTTTTTACCGGTGCAGAGAATTTATTCAAACTTTTCATGAATATTTCCTTGGTTTAAATTAATTCATTAATGCATTAAAACTTCAGGAAATATGCGTTTTTTAGTAAATCAGCAGTATCACCTTCCATCTAGTACACTGTTATAAATGTTACTAGTGTATTAAAACCAAAAACAGACACCCATGTTTTCGTAAAATCGCGATTCAAAGCAACAAAATGAAGTATACTTTTTTAATAAAAGGAAAAGCTCATTCACATACCACATAATTTGTACGCGCACAAACTCTCACATATACCCCATAATAGAAGGTGCACAACGGCAATATGTAACTAGTGCTAATTGTAACGGGGACCGTTACAGATGTTCCCCAAATGCTCCCCAACTCCCTTTTGGTGCCAGATTCCCGATAAGCTTCATTAAATAAGACAAACTCTATGCATTTGAGACTTTAACAATTTACCCAGAAGTGTACCAAATTCATTCAAATTTTAGCATTGCACGCATGCGCATGTGAATGCATGTGCGTAATAACCATATCATCTTGTCTACACAATCTATGTATTTTGATATACTAAATGTTAAAGTATTTAATCCAAAATTATTAAAAAATACGCTCATTCAGGTGTATTTTTGATATTACTAATTTCACGTGCACGCACGTGCATACATGAGCATGGTGACCATACTTTCTTCTAGAAGTCCAATACATCTATGTTCCAAATCCCACCCCGTTTGGTTGAAAACCAAGGGAGTTATAGCTGTTTAAAGTTTCAGCCAATCAGATTCCAGCGCACGTACACGCACATGTAGATGTGCATGGAGACCATACCTTCTTGTAGAAATCCATCATATCTATCTATGTTCCCAATCCCATCCTGTTTGGTTGAAAACCAAGGGAGTTATAACTGTTTGAAGTTTCAGCCAATCAGATTGCAGCGCACGTACACGCACGTGTATGCATGTGATTAGTGACCATACCTTCTTGTAGAAATCCATTATATCTATCTATGTTCCAAATCCCATCCTGTTTGGTTGAAAACCAAGGGAGTTATAGCTATTTAAAGTTTAAGCCAATCAGATTGCAGCGCACGTGCATGCACGTGCTTTCATGATAATTGCTATATATCATGTTGTAGGATATCCTAATGCATGGCTATGTTCAAAATTTCAAAGGATTTCATCAAAAAACAAGAAAGATATTGAGACTTTAGTTTCAGCCAATCAGAGCGAAGCGCACGTGCATGCGCGTTAGATCTTGCTATTTTGGCCATGTCATATTGTCTATGCTACTAATATATCTTTATATTATGAGTTTCAAAGCATTTCATCACAAATGTAAAAAGTTACGCTTATATCAATTAAATCGGTCATTTCACGTGTTGCACGTGCACGCTCTTGCAAGCACGTGCGCGCAAAATGACCTTCGTTCCGCAAATCTACATAACATGCCTACTGACCCTAAAAAGGTTTTACCTAAGTTGGATGTGTAGTTTAAAAGATCACTCCCGGACAAAAAAGTACCCAGGAAGAAGAAGAAAAATAATAATAATAATAAGAAACAGAGTAAAAACAATATGTTCCCCAACTTCGTTTGGGGAACATAATAATAACTAGTGCTAATTGTAACGGGCACCGTTACAGATGTTCCCCAAACGATCCCCAA